GACCCACAGATAGGTTTTAGAATTACAGGGATCCCTCGATTTACGAACGTTCCGTTTACGAAATTTAGCGTGGACCCAATTGACAAATTACGAACGCTTTCGATTGACGAAATCGAATTTCCGCATCAATGAAATTTCACGCGACACGCGCCGTGAGATCAAACAAGCAGCCACCCGGCACGCCGCGAAGTCGTCCATCCGCCACAGCGTCACGGTGTCCCTGCAGTGCAACAGCAACGCCTCCACATCATCATGGCCTTGCCAGTCATTCCAACATGCAGCAGATATTTTGGTGAGTTCCCTGAAAAGAAAAAGTATTTTGGTTTTATATTAATTATTATTCAATCATATTTTATATTTATGTTCATTATTATTATTATGACTGTCCGAAACACACCCCTAATGTTTAGCGTCAAAGCAATGGGAAAAGCCATTCAGATTTACGAATTTTAGTTTCACGCGTGTTTTTCGAAGAGCGCATCACTTTCATAAATCAAGGGATAACTGTATTATCTTATTGCATATGTTACGAATTCGATAGCGTATGTGGTTATTTATTCATATTTAATGCGAATAGATTTATTCGTAAAATAATGCCCCGTAATGACTGCAAACGATTATTAAGCATTATATAGTTTTCACAATTATACAGTGACCGTATAAAGCAACGATATGATAAAATGAGACCATCTTTAAAACTAACTGGACAAAAGCTCTACAGTTTGGAAGTGCTACATATTCTTTGCCAACCTGGCAGGAGAGTCAAGCGCGACTGAAGAAAGTGCAGCTGCTCAAACGGAGACAAGCCTAAAGCATTTCTACTCAAAATAACTGTCCAAGATAAACACCCAAAGTCAGCGAAGAGATGGAGCGCTTGCACGATGGGATCAGCCAGGAGACTGGCTGCAGCTGGAGAAGGCTCATCTCATAGAAGTCTGCAGGGAGAAGCCGGGGAGCTGTAATACGGTCAGCTGAGCAGGTGCTGGAGGACATTGAGGACTGCCGAGAGGACTGCCGAGAGCTGTGCGTAGACTTCTGCCGTTCACGAGTGAAGCGGAGCGCCAACGCAGCGACCCCCTTGGAAGGGCTCGCCCAGCTGAAGCAGCTCAAGGACCAGTACCTCGACCTGCGGGGACAGCAAGAGGAAGCTCGCAGGGTGCTTGAAGCGGAGATCAAAGCCCTCGAAGACAAAGTATAACCCGCACTTGGCAAGGCTGGGAGAGAAGTGGAACCGACCACAACCCGCCGCCAGCCCAGGCTCACTGAAGTAACGCTCCGGAAAGAGTTCCAGATCTGTGGACAGATTGGGGAAGGGCAACAGAAAGACAAACTGTCCTGAACACGCTTGGTCCACCAGATGGAAGCTGGACTCCAGAAGGCTACTCGGAGTCAAGAATTGTGGAAGAAATAATCGAGGCTATGAGCCCAGGACTGCCCCTCAGGGACATGCTGGGGATCAAGAGAGAGAGCTAAGGTGCCATTGATGTCGGGCACATCGGCACCTCCAAACATGCACATTACACGGAACTATGGGGCACCGGCTCAGAGGACCTATATCTACCCGAAGGCGCTGGAGCTGGTGGAGAAGGAACTTCCCAAAACACGAGGCCGCTCTCTGACCCCAGAACATATTGAGGGAGCTTAAGAGGACGGCCAAATAATAGGGAAAGTCCAACGGTAGAAGGTCAGGGACCAACGGCCATTCAGAACTGTCTAGAGTGGAGAACGCCATGATCTTCTTCCAGGTGGTCAAGCCAGATAACCGTGTCAGGAGCAAGTGGAGTCTATCATCGCTGTGATGTCTTTGTAGTTTGGGGCATTGCGCCGTTATACGTTGTACGGTCTGTTTTAGATGACCACAGTCGCACACTGGAGAATTTATAATTTTCCATTTGTGCATCGGGTATCTGCATCTGCTGCCATGGTTTGTCCAGTGGATGTGGTTTAGGGTGGATCATGAGCTTCGTGGAAGAAACAAAATTGGGTACTTTCTTTTACAAGGTGTTTGTGAGTTCTTTTGAACTCTATTCATCCTCTACCAAGCTTCATTGGGGTTGAACTTGCATAGTTAATATAATAGGACTGCTGAGGCAATGGGAGAAACTGCACCTAGGCGACGAAGGGGGAATACTATATCGGAAGGCCGCGTGTCCTGCCCGAGCCCGTACCACTCACCCGGTGTTCTGAGAACTTCACCAAGAAAAAGGACACCTGGAGGGATAACAGACACTACACCTCACCCGAGACAGATTTTACTGGCCAAAGATGCAGAGCGATGTAGAACACTTTGTGACCAAAGTGTGTGACTCAAGAGGACGTGTGGTTATGTTTATGTATGTATGCTGAACTTCTTTCGCACCATACATAGCCAACCGTGCTAATCGGAGATGCGGGGGAAGGACAACAAACTAAACACAAAAAGCAGTTTGAAAGAAATGAGTTTTCAATCTAGATTTAACACGGTGCATAGCTCCAGTGGCTTCCTAATAGCACAGCTGATGGTTAATAATAATTATGTAAATATTGCAGTTGTTTATTATATAAATAAGGTGCCGTTAGTGTTGTAAACCATTCCAGTGAATTACAGTCGACCCTTCCACATCGCGGGGGTTAGGGGCGAGCAGGCCCCCCGCGATCTGGAAAAACCACGTCAAAATTCTGTCCCCTTGGCGAGCGAAGCGAGCACCTCCGAGGGGGGGGGGGGGGAGTGCGCTGTGAGATAAAATACCTTAATATTATACAGTATTGTACATATATTTTATGCATTTATGAGTTACTAAACTTTTTGTGTGTCGTCTGGTGGCCTTCGCGTGTCGTCTGCGGCTTTTGCAAAACTCCCCAAAAATTCCCATTTCATTTCTTATGCCGACCCCACAAATATGTCGAAACCCCGATATGGAAAGTCGCGATGCAGAATGGTCGACTGTATAGTGGTTTCACAGTTACGGTCTAAGATACTATTCTTCTGAAGTGATCGGACCAGACCTAGAGAGAGGCGTTTTGGAATGATTACCTGCCAGAGTGTACGTGGTTATTTATCAATAACTAATGTAACTACATTTATTGTGAATAATTGCTCCCTAACAACCGAAAACTAATTTTTAAGCGTTAGAATTATTTCACAATTATCCATTGACCCTATAAAGCAACCATTATGATGAAGAAATAAAACCATCTTTAAACAATTGTAGCTTGCTGACTCACCGCAACTGGACATCTGCGAAAAAGAGCTTCATAGGTCATCGAACTCCAGTCTGCGTACAAATTCTTATATTCCAAATAAAAGCGCGCAGCGACCCAACAGGATGAAAGCTGTCCAGTGTCGGGAAGTGGACGCCTGCTGCCCGAGGCGTGTTTGTAGCCGTCGTTTATTTAACACGACCGAGGAGAACGTTATTTCAAGGGAGACCTGGGTAGGTTGCGAAACAATTCACATTTAACAAGCCGGTGAGAGCAATACAACCGTTCCCCCACTAATGCACGGACGATCGTCGCGATATCTCACGGCACCCCCCCCCCCCCCCCGCCGATAAAACACAAAAGAGTGAAAACACCCCCCATCATCATCATCGTCGTCGTGCTGCTGTCAAACCCCCGATGGTCTCAAACGTGTAGCGGCCCTCACGCTGACGATGACTTCTCGGCGACTGTGGCCCCCCTCTGAGAATGAGTGAAGATCACTGTCCGCGGTGGACATAGAGACATGAACTCGTTTCTTTCTAACTGCTTTGTGTGTTTCGTTTGTTGTCCTTCCCCCGCACCTCCGATTAGCATGGTTGGCTACGTATAATGCGAAAGACATTCGACATACGTACATACATCAATAACCAGGAATTAAGTATGAATATTGAATACGTAACAGCAACACATTAATACTAAACAGATTAACAGTCCAAATAGTACAATATGCGGTTTATCTGTGGAATGGGGCACAATCCAAATGTGAAAAATTCACAATCGCCCAGCGACAAATCCAATGACCAATTACATGCCCATTATATACTTATTACATGCCTTTACGTACCCATTACATACCCATTATATACCCATCACGTACCCATAATATAACATTGCTTACTTGTTCTACGTCTGTACGTTGAACTACTTTCGCGGAAATGCGAGGGAGAGGACAAAATAAACACAAAAAGCAGCTCTAAAGAAATGAGTTTGCCAATCTCGGTGATGATTTAAAGTGCATAACTCCCAGTGGCTTCTTGGTATCACAATGAAGAGCGTTCCAGACGGCCGCGATGCGGTGACCGTCTTTGTCCGATGGCGAGCCAACAGCCGCGCTGCTCCTGCTGCGAGGATGACCAGAGTTTGCATGATGGTCTATGCTCCTTTACGAGATACACCCATTGCATACTCATTGTATACCCATTGTATAAGCGTTACAAACTCGTTGCATATTCATCACGTAACCATTACATACCATTACATATCCATTGCATACCCTTTTCATACTCATCACAAACTCATTGGCATACCAAGACCCATTGCATACCCACTGTCTGCGCCACTGGAAGGTTTTTTCAGTGCAAAGAGAGAATTGATGTTGGCTCTAAACCCTGTTGCTGTGTTCTGCACCACTAATTGTTCACTCTCCACACTATTTTGGGAAACAAAAATTTGCTGCAGTTTTTGCTTCGACATTGGGTTGTGCGGTAAATCTGGTTGAAAACCGGCGGCATTCCGCTCGCTCCGGGAGCACCGGCGTCGCGCCCTGCAGGAGAACTCCCCTTATCCTTGAACTTATCATCCCGTGTGCGACTCCTGTTATCCGCGACAGCTACAGGGTCCGCACGCACGCACACACGCAGGCGCGCACGCCACTATTGTCCACCACTCCATTCCGATTATCCACTTGGGGACGAGCGGAGCCAATTCGCGGAAAGCCTCGCTGATGACGGGGCCCACGGTGTCGACCTCCCGCCTCGCCGCGGACAAGAGGGAAGCGCTCACGTCTCTGTTTTCTTTGCCCCTTTTTCTCCCCTTCCCAGGTGCGCGTGGAGACAACATCTGAACGGACGTCACGACCATGGCCGCCGCGGCAGTGACGGCGGCGGCGCCGGTGGCCTTGCCCGGCGTGGACCCGCGGCAGGATTTCCCCGCGTGGCTGGCCGCCCACGGCGTGAGCCTCGGCGTGGCCGAGGCCGTGGACCGGGAGCTGGGCATCGGCGACTACGAGGCCTTCCTGGCGTGCGCCGAGCAGCCCCACGTCAGGGCCGAGATGTTCGCCGCCGCCAGGGAGCGGCTGCCTTTCGCCTTCTACGCCGTGCTGCGCCGCCTCACCGAGGCCTCGTCCCCCAAGCGCCACGACGGGGCAGGGGTGGGGGGCGCCGGCGGGGGGGGCCTGCAGGTGGCCGCCGCCGTCGCGGCCTTCCAGCCGTTTCTCGGCGGCCTCTTGGACGCCATCGTCCTCACGCTCAACAGCCTGAGCCACGAGCTGCTCCAGTCGGCCGAGAGGTTCAGCTGCCTGGAGCCCGCGCTCTATCCGCTGCTGGATGACGGAGGAGAGGCGGCGCACGGCGACGGAGACGGCGGCGGCGCGCGGGAGTCCGCCTGCTCAGGTGCGGGAGCGAGTGGCCGAGCGACGCAGTGCTAACCCTGCTTCCCCAGAATTGAACCTCGGTTCATTTTTCCCGAAACGGTGTTGGCCGATATAGTTCCCGTCGCACGATGCGGTGCCGCCACCTGCCACCGCCACGCGGTCACGCGAGGTCACGCGAGGTTAACATTGGTTAAAGCGCCACCGTTGTATACACACGAGCAGCCCGTGTGTCAATCCACTGCTGGATGAGGGCCTCCCCTTACCCGTACTGCACCTCGCTTGTCAGGGTCGGTTGGTGAAGGCAGGGAGCATAGACCTCGGAGCATAGAATCAGAGTACATCAACGGATTTTTGCCGCACTACCCAAAATGTAGCCCCACAACCGCTTTGCGTCACCCGTGTTATGCAAAGGATAGTCGCCCATCCAAGCGTTGTCATAGCTCAGCCCAGCGAATCTCGGGAGGCGTGACAAGGTCGGACGCAATCTGTGGTATCGTCGTCACGCTCTTCCGCTCAGATTTGTATTTCATCGGTAAAGTGTTGTGCGTTGTGGGGAAGGGTGCATCTGAGTGCAGGGAATTCTTGGCGCAGAGAGCGCCGGATTCAGGGGGCAGAACCGACCACTCTGACAACCTCGGCACCTTGTGCGTTCGTGTGAAGTGTTGCGCAATCACAATCAAGGCTATTTTGGGTTAGATTGCATGAGTATAAATGGGTCGTTAGGCCACCACCATCTGAAACAGCCAATGAGTAAGGTTTGTCGCATAAACAAAACGTGGCAATTAGTTCCTAGTTCAGCACTATGTGGTGTGTTGGAGAGTAAACCCACTACAACATTTACAATGATGACAGCAACCAGCTTCGTCAGGCGACGTGCCAGAGTTACCGTGCCTGATGGTGTTCGGCAGTTGGCTGTGTCACGGGAATCTACTGCACGTGTAACGTACATCTTTGGAGGTGTGCTGTGGATGGTTGCACTTTCCCCCAGCCATGTGACCGTGTGTGTTGGAAGAGTAAGCCGGCACTATTTGCAAATTGAAGTGTTAAAACGCGAGTGTCATCTAACTCCCGGCATCCACAAACTTACGTCGTTACGTATTTGTTTCAATAAAATAAAGTCACAAATAACGCAGCCATCCGCGATCGAGCCGAGGTTGCAAACGGACGGCAACCTCCAAATGGGGGCCGGGGGTTTCAGCTAATGGCAGTCGTGGGGGGGGGGGGGAGTTCAGGTGGAGCGCTCAAAATGGCAGAAAAATGCGGTGGGCGACCACGAAACATTTTTCCATTCCGCTGCACCGCACCATTTTAGCGAACCACAAACCGCCCCTGAAGCCGTCGCAGCGGGGACGGGTTTGTGGCCTGGCCACGTCCGCCGCCAGGCTTCCAGCGTCGAGGCCGAGGAGGTTCGGAGACCCCCACCCCTAGGCGGCGAGCCGCCAGCGCAGCATCGCGTCGGTGACACAAGCGGCCTTCTTCCCCTGCGGACGTTGCTCCTCCTCCGCTCGTTGTGTTGTTTATTGTCGCGTCTGAGGCACAAACTCCTCCGGACCGCGTCCGGCTTGTGCCAGTGCCCGAACCAAGGAGTCGGCAACACTTCTGTCAATAACACGGTGGCCCGAAAAGGAGAAAAAGCAATATATATAACCGGTGACGCTTTGGGCAGTAGTCCCTCTTCATTGTAGAGACAGACAGTCCAGACAGAGCGAGTGACTAATATTTGTTGTACCCCGTGGGAGTCTTACGAATTTTTTTTTCAGAATGACGTTTTTCATGTCGGAGCCAGATTTGCTTAACAAGCTTCCCGTCTGCTGACTGGGCACTGGTGCGGTAGCCGTGTGCCTGCCTCAAAGTCGCAATGTGGCAGAGGTCAAATTGTGGTCAGGGGTCAGCTCAGCCCAGCGTCTCTCCCCTCGGCTTTTGCGGGAGATCGATAAATCCTGTCGCACGGGGAGACGGGCCCGGCTGGCTTGCCGCCGCTAATGGACTCGAGCGTAGCGCGGCTGAGTGGCAGCGTGCAGGTGCAGTGTGAGGGTGCAGCATGCGTGTGTAATGATGAAAATGCAGCGTGCGTGTGCAGGGTGCCAGTGCAGCGTGCGTGTGCAGCATTAAGTGCGCAACGCTGAATGTGCAGCGTGCGTACAAGCGTGAATATGCAATGCTGAGTATACATGAGTGTGGCGTGAGTGTGCACCGCTGAGTGTACAGAGTGAATTTGCAGTGTGCAGCGTGCATGTGCAGCGTGAGTATGCAATGCTGAGTGCAGGGTGCAGAGTGCATTGTGCAGTATGCGAGTGCAGCGTGAGGGTGCAGCGTGAATGTGAAGACGCTGCGACTGAGTGCGGGCGAATCCGGGCAGTGTCTGGACAGGACATTGGCGCCCCCTAAGGTCCACGAGATTAAATGCAATCAACATCGTGGAAGTCTGAAACTGTTTTTAAATTCGAATGAATCTTCCCATCCTTGTGGATTTTGAGTTTTCCATAGCACTGTAATAGTTTTTGTTCCAGAGCAAGCAGTGCAGTAAGATACAATAACCACATTTACATCTCACCGCATGCCGCCCGGTCACCCACCGTCGACCCCAACGGCCATGCCGCTTAGAAACCAGACGGAGAGCCTCTACGCTCCCGGCAAACGCGCCTCGGCAAACGCCACGGCCGCCTTTAAATCCAACGAGTTGTCTTCACGCGTTCGTGACACAAACGCGCCCTCCTCTTCCCCAACGAGTTCCCCACCCGAGGGCAGGTCCGTAGCTCAAGCTACCCCGAGAGCCATCTGATCTCAACGGCCCCCCTCTTGTGTCCGAGGGCTCTTGAGCCATCACCGGAGGAGGGGAGCGACGATGGAGTTGGGGTTGCCCTCAGTGCCTCCTCAACGGCGGTGTTTTGTTAGCGACACCATCGCTCAGTGCGGTTTAATGTCACGCCTGGGACCGCCCCCCCACCAACGCTAATGTTTAGAAACGATGCGTTTAGAGATCTTCGGCTGCTCTGAATCTCCAACGTGATAAGCCACTTGGTTGAGCTACCATTTGTGGTAGCCAAGTCGCTTCTGAAAAAGAGCTACGTCGAGCATCAGCGGTCCTTACCTGGTTAAATAAAAATGGTTTACACAGCGGTTTAGTTTATCTTTGCAGCTGGTAGCCGTCACGACCTTGTCTACAGAGTGTGCGCAACAATGACGATGTCCTCTTGATATTCACAGTACGCTGTTATTCCCATTTGGGAACGCTTTTGAAGACAATTTGTTACAGATGTATTCTGAAAAATAGCTATATAGGCTCAGTGGGTCATACCTGGTAAATAAAATAGTAATCTGAACGTATACGCAGTAAGTGCACAGCGTTGTCCACACCCACCGAAATCAACTATCCTCTCTCATGATTAAGCCATCTCGAGCATTTGAAACCGTGGTGCCATATCCGTTGTGATTTCACACAACCGCATCTTTTTGTTGGATAAAACCCAGAGCCGCACCCTGCGCTCAGCCCGCCGGCCCGCTGCTCGTTGGGCACGTCCCCCGGTTTCGCCGGCACGGCCGAGCCGAGCGGCATTACGCCGAGTTGACCCCCACTCCCCCCACCCATGCGCGCCGTGCCGGTTGCAGAAGCGGACGAGGGCCCCCCCGGGGGGTACAAGGCTGCCGCGGACGTGACACTTCTGGAGGTGGCGGTGTTGGAGCCGGCGGCGGCGGCGGAGCGGCGGGAGAAGCGGCGGCCTGCACGGCCGTGGGACCACGTGCACGTCAAGACGGAGCATCCCCCCGAAGGTAGGGGGCAGAGCGAGAGACGGCCACCGGCGGTGACCGTGGGCGGGGGCGGTGGGGGGTCCCGAGAGAGCCGAATTCTAAAAGGCCACGAGCGAGAAGCAAAAGGGCCCCGGTGGGGTCGTGCCACCGCACGCTAGCCGGCCGGACCGCAGCCACCCTACGCCGAACCGAGCGAGCCCAGCAGGGCCCCCCACGCGCCGGCCGTAACCCTTGACCCTGAGCGCGTTGCGTTGTGTCGAGTCAGCAGTTGTTGTGCTCATGGGGCACGCGTCTGGGCCGATCTCTGGGACTGGGTCCCATCTCTTCGGAAGAGCAGTATCTTATACCGTAACCGTAAAACCACTATAATTCACCGGAATGGTTTACAACATCAACGGCACATTATTTATATAATAAACAACTGCGATGTTGACATGATTATTATTAACTATCAGCTGTGCTATTAGGAAGCCATTGGAGCTATGCACCGTGTTAAATCTAGATTGAAAACTCATTTATTTCAAACTGTTTTTTGTGTTTAGTTTGTTGTCCTTCCCCCGCATCTCCGATTAGCACGGTTGGCTTTGTATGGTGCGAAAGAAGTTCGGCATACATGGTTCGCGTGATAACTATTTGGCTTATCTGTGGGACCCTTTTTCCACTATCAAGATATCGAATGTTAAAAAAGGCGTTTTACCCTTTCTGGAATAAATACCGATGTTTAGATGTCCAAACACCAAAGCATTAATAGATTGGGTTCAGCAGTCATCAATGTTAATACTGTGGTGTTTGCATTGTGCTTGTACCAATCACCTTTTGGCGGTCTATAGCACTGGTGAGGCAAAGCCATATCAAAGGCAGTGTCTGGTGCAGGCCTAACAGTTTCAAGGACAGTGAGTACAGTATAAAATCACAGATGGTTTGCATTCTTTTTAGCACGAGTATGCGTGGTTCATTTGTAAGAGGTGTCTATTTGGCGTGTGAACATCTCAACACCTGTGTTCATGCCGGAAAGGGTGAAGCTTTGCTTTTATTGTTATCGCTAAATAATTTGCCGGCTAGGCGGGTGATCACGGCAAAAATAACCGATTCACAATTCACCCGCTGCCAAAACAACGCGACGGTGCCCGTGCCAAGCGTGGAACTTTGCGTTCGTCCCCCTCGCAGACCCGGCGAGCCGCTCGGCGCGGCACGCGGCGGCGGCGTTGGGGGAGCGACACCGCGCGTCCCCTGCGGGGAGGGCCGCCGCCTTCGGCGAAGACGAGTCGGTCGACCTGAGCCGCGTGTGGAAGGGGCCCAGCCCCAACAAGCGCAGGGCCAAGGCCGCGGGTGAGAGACTCTCCCCGCACGTCTCCCCGCGCGTCTCCCCACGTGTCTCCCCGCGCGTCTCCCCCGTGCGTCTCTCCGCGCGTCTCCTCCTCCATCGCTGCACAGATCCGCCGCTGGGGGGGATCGCGACGATCGTGCTCGCAATGCGCCGGTCACGTCGGGAGGGGATGTGGGGCCGGATTTCTCTTTTGTGTTCGTCTGAAAAATGTGAATACGCAGATGTGTAACCCGGTGTGTAGGCCCAGGATGCGCTCCTGAAACCAGAACTTTATTGGAAAGTACTCAAATCACAGCAGAAATGTGGGATGGCGGATAGTAGCATGGTACAGAACCTACTACGACTAGTACTACCAGAGATGGAATGGTGGATGGTAACGTGGTACAGAACCTACTACGACTAGTACTACTAGAGATGGGATGGTGGATCGTATCGTGGTTACAGAACCTAAAGAGTGGATGCTCAGTAAACCAACGTTGTCTCTTAATGGTAAAGTTCGTAAAATCTCGAGTACGTGGTGGCGTGGTACAATGGTACGCAGTATGGGACTGGGTATCAACGCGTTGAGGACGTTACAGCGAAGGTACCCACAGCAGGAGGGAGGGCGTAAATCGGGCTGTGACTTTACACATCGGGAGACGAGACGGGACGGGAGGTCAGCGCAGCGATGGGGGACCCCCGGGCGGGGCCCTGCGAGTGTCGTGGCCGCCCGTGGTTCACGCGCCTCTCCGTGGCGTGCGTTCGGGTCGTTGGGCGTGTTGTTTTCGTCCGTGATGTCCCTTCCGTTGTTTCGCTCCGCGTGCTATTGAGGCCTTCCTCGGGAGAGGAGCGTCGTGCAGAACAACGAGCATCCTCCAACCCTAAAACGCACGGCCCCTTTGTTATCACTCCACTGCTGGTTGAGGGCCTCCTCTTCGTGTCTGTACGGGCTGTGGGGGATTATTGGGCCGTGCTTCACCGTCAGCGCGGGTTTGTGGAGATGGGGCGGTTAAATGTGGAAGTATAGCAGTACAGTACGACGTTTGGTTTTTTTGCTCTGCGCTCCACTGCTCACCACGTTGCCCTGTGACAACTAGCACTGCAAAAGTAGTAAATGTTTTTATATCTGTGCAGCAAGGTTTATAATTCAACCGCGTGCCAAGCGCGGTAACTAAAACCATTTATAAATTACCCACAAACCCATAGCTGCACCGACCTCAGTCGTCGTGGCGCAAAGTGCCCGCCTGCGCTCAGTCTTCCTCCCTGTGTCCTGGCAGTCGACCACGGCGCGAGGTTCCCCGAATCCGGCGAGCAGCAGCACGCTCCTCCCATCGCCGGCGTCACCGCCGGCGGCGTCTATCGGAAAGCCCCGGCGGCGCACGACGCCTACGAGCAGCCGCCTGCCGAGTACCGGCCGCTCGACAAGAATGGCGAGGGCCCCTGGGGCGAGGTCCAGGAGGCCGCGGCGCAGGAGGCCGTCGGGAACGGCCTCGACCCAGCCGCGTACTCCCACCGGGAGACCCCCGAGCCCTACAAGAGGGAGGCGCGGCGCCTCGCCGGTTCCCCCGACGAGGAAGTCGCGGCCGAGACGGAGCCCGGCGTCAAGGCGGCCGGGGACGGGGACGCGGCGGCCTACGGCCCGCGCGACCCGGTCTACGGCCTCGCCGGCGGGGGCGGCGGCCAGAGGCCGTACGCGGAGGAGCACGGGCGCTACTCGCCCGGCAGCTACGTGTCCGCCATGCAGCTGGCGCAGCTCGGGGCCATGGCGGCCGAGGGCTCGGCGGAGGACGCGATGGCGCGGCGGTTCTGGTGCGACCAGTGCGGCATGCGCTTCACGCACTCGCACGTGCTGATCCGGCACAAGCGGCGGCACACGGGCGAGAAGCCGTTCGAGTGCCACGAGTGCGGAAAGCGCTTTTCGCGCACCTGTAGCCTGGCGCGGCACCGGCGCACGCACGAGCGCCTCGCGCAGGACTTCACCGCCGTCATGGGCTACGGCGGCGCCGGCAGCGGAGGCGGCGTGCCCGACGGCCCCGGCGAAGCGCAGCCCTTTCCGAGCCAGTCGCCCATCTGTCCGCCGTGAGCGATCTCGCAAGCGAGAGGAGCGAGCGAGCCGGTGGATGGGTTGAGGGCGTGGATGAGAGGGTGTGGGCGAGTAGGTGAGAGAATGAGTGAGTTAATTAGTGAGTTAGCGAGCAAACAAGTGAGTGGGAAGTAAGTAAGAGGGATTCGTGATGAATAGGTAAACGAGTGGCTGAACGAGCGAGCGAGTGACCTGTGAGCGGACGAGTGAGCTCGTGAGTGAACTGCATTCTGGATGAGTGAGCGAGCGAGCGAGCAAGGGCTGACTTTTGCAACGTACAGTGCCACGCAGTTAGTTTAACACCTAGGCTTTCGCGACCAATATCATCCATTATACAGGTTTTTTTGGGTTAGATTGCATAAAAATGGAAATGTTTAGTTAAACCCGCCACCACCTGACACAGCCAATTAGTAAGGTTTGTTACGTAAACAGAACATGGCATTACTAGTACAGCATACCAACACACCGGTGTGCTGTACTAGTAACGAATTGTTGGCTCTCCAACACACCGGTGTGCTGTACTAGTAACGAATTGGCACGTTCTGTTTACGTGACGAACCTTATTGGCTGTGTCAGGTGGTGGTGGGTTTAACGGCACATTTATATATTTACGTGATCTAACCCAAAAAAACCTGTATTATGCCACGCAGTCGTTGGTTGTGTGTTTCGCTGTTGTATGAGGATTGGTAAAAGAAAAAAATCCTGGAATAAAAAGTTCCCTTCCATGGATGGCAGCTGTGCCCAGTCTGAAACGGCATTGCCTACGCAAGGCCTCATCTCAACCAGGCCTGCCCGGGTTTGGTGGCTCGGAAAATATTTCCGCATCCGGCACACGGCATGCAGTATGTTTCTCGCTGTGGCTGCGATTACCACTCACGAGCCGCCTGCTCCAGGCGACCGGCGACCCGGGTCGTGTCAAAAGAAAAATGGACTCGCCGAGTGTTCGCGGGCGGGTTTCCGAGTTTGCGTGTCGCCTGTTAACAGCCAGCTTGAGGATGTATAATAGATGTTACTATTTACCTATGAAGGCCTCACTTGGGATGTTTAGCCATGTTGTCGAGAGATTCTATCCATGGGAAGGAAACGGAATTCCCATGAACAAAATCTCACGAAAAAAAACTTGTGTGGGAAACACTCCCACATCAAGGTAGATAAGAAATCTACTTTCTGTACTGCCTTGTGCACTGCAGCGAGTCTCCTTTGTGTTTTTTTCTTCTCCCATATCTATATAAATAGCGTTTTTTTAACGGCTGTTGAATAAGCGGACCTTTTTTTTACCGTGAGGCGGATCCGTCAGCACTGCGTAGGGATTTCTCCGCGCTGTGTCAGATACGTTTTCTTTTTGGTAGGCAGCAGTTGCGCCTTTGCGAGGAGGGAGGAGGGAAGAGGAGGTGGAGGCAGGAGGCGGGAGGAGAGCAGTTTTACTATCCTGGACAATAGCGGTGGACGATAGCGGTGGGCGAGCACGCTCCCCGGCACTTGCGCTCCGGCACATCGGCGTTGTGTCAGTGCCGTCGAAGCCGATCCGGTGCGTGGGTTTAGTTTCGTCGATCTCTTTATGGGGGAAAGCTTCGCTTCTCGATTTTATTTCATTTTTTTCGCGCCACACAAACGGCCCAAAAGAACTAACGGAGCTCGGTTCTTTGGTTTCGTCGCCGGGTTTGTCAAAGGTGCACCCCTCTACGTTGCGCGGCATGGCTGTGGCCGCCCGCTCATCTTGCTCTTGCGTCTGGTGGCTTCGTTTGAACTTCATCGTGGTTGTCCATTTTCTTTTTGAACTTTGCAACAACAAATTAACCGTGTGTGTGTGTGTGTTTTTGTTTTGCCTGTTCATTTCATATATATATAATCTCTCGCATTCATTTATTCCAGGCGCCCAAGCAAGACTGTTTTTTATTACGTTATTCCAAAGATTGATAAGAAATAAAAAATACCATAGGCACTGAATGTTACTTAGATATTTGCACTGTTTGGCAATGCAATGCAGATGATGCTTTTGCTGCGATTAATGCTGACAATCAATGAACCCAGTGCTCGAACTTGTTCGCAGCGATGACCAGTGGTCGAAATGGAAATGTAGAATCCCCACCGCCGGGTGATGAAACCGAATCGCCCTGCGGCGCGCTTTCATTTCCCTTTCCCCTCTGCGTGGAACATCGCAGCGTCGGGGACGGGGGGGCCGTTCCACTAAGCGCCCGTGCGCACACACACGCGTGCGTGCGCGCGAGTCCGGCTGTCGTGAGAAGTGCCGGCGTGGCGTACCGCGAGTGTACCCCGGCTCTGTTTCGATCGCTGGTGATGCACTCGTAGCCAAATTGCCTCTTTGTTCCACTGCGCAGCAACAACGACAGCAACAGGCGAGCCGCGCTCCGGGCTGCGCTGAGCCAGCCCAGCGTGACTCGGGAGGCGGCAAGGATTTAGTTTGTTTGTGTGTTTACCCCGCCACTGCAGAAGCCAAGCCGGTGCCGTGTTAGCTGACGTCACGAACGCGTCGAGTCACGAACGCATCGAGTCACGCGTAGGTTGACGCGACTCCGTGATGGGCTCATTGGTTGCTCACGGGCGAACGCCGCACGTGCGGATGCCTCTGCGAGTGTGTGCTCCTGTGTGACTGTGAGTGAGTGTGTTCTCCTGTGTGAGTGTGTGTGTGAGTGTGTGCTCCTGTGTGACTGTGTGTGAGTGTGTTCTCCTGTGTGAGTGTGTGCGACTGTGTGAGTGTGTGTTAGTGTGCGACTGTGTGCGACTGTGTGAGTGTGAGTGTGTGCTCCTGTGCGAGTGTGAGTGTGTGCGACTGTGTGAGTGTGTGACTGTGTGAGTGTGTTCTCCTGTGTGAGTGTGTGTGAGTGTGCGACTGTGTGAGTGTGTGTGAGTTTGTGCTCCTGTGCGAGTGTGTGTGAGTGTGCGACTTTGGAAGTGTGCGACTGTGTGAGTGTGTGCGACTGTGTGAGGGTGCGAGCGTGCGTGCGTGTGTGCGTGCTCCTGTGTGCTCCTGTGTGCTCCAGCGTGCGCGCTGTCCAGCCACGATGAATTGTCGTCGGTGACTTCGTCGGAGCGCCCTGCCGTTGGGCCTGACACCGCGATCTGCACGATCCCCCCCCCCCCCCCCCGTTTCGGCTGCGTCGCCGTGTTTGTCACTCGAAATGCAGCACTGCGCATTTTGCGTAAGTTATGGACAGCAAGCTTGATACGTTTTTTGCAGTTTTTAAATTATATTTGCATGGTGTACCAAACGTTTGTAATAAATCAACAAAAACGGAGGCTGTTTTTTGTCTGGTGCGCATGCTTTTATTTAAATGTTATTTTACCAGGTGTGAGACCCACTCAGCTATGTAGCGATTTTTTTTTTTAAACGATCTGGGCACAAATGATAGCCCAACCAAGTGGCCTATCATGTGGACATGTTTCGCAGCCAAATAATCTAAACGCGTGTTTCTAAAACCTGAGGGCCCACAGAAAATTTTACGCGACCACGGGGAAATGTGCAGGCGTCAGGGTCGGGATGGAATCCACGGCCTGTTGTATACCAAGGTAGTTGACATCTCCGAGCCACCGTGGTGCAAGGAACACGATGATCAGATCCGCGTTTCCCCAGGCAACTGGGGCAACTGGGGCAACGGACTCAGATCCGTCCAACTTCTGCACGTCACCAGCTGACTTCACGGCTCCGGATGCTTGTGGAGGCCATCATCCAGCAGTGGCTAGATCATGGCTGATGATGATGAGACAATCGTGACTTGGCGAGGAATCCCTCCACCTCTGCCAGCGTCGCCCCGTGCACGCCGTAGCTGTGAACATGCTTTGCTTCATTGATGTCTATTATTAGGCTCGCAATACAAGCGTGCAGTGAGGACCGACGTTTTTCTATTCGTGAATGTTCGATGCAATGAGATCATGTGAGCCCTGCCGGCCACTCGAGGCCGATGCACCCATCTCGGTGTCAAACATCCCGGACTCGCGAACCCGATATGGCGACAATTCGTGGAATCTCCGCGGTGGGGTGAAATGTGGGTACGCGCCAAGCCTCACCCCACGTGGGCTTCTCGCCGTGGGAACGGCTCCTCGTGGTCAGAGCGCCGCGCACGGGCACAGCGCAGGTCTGGAGCGCCCTCTTCGTGTTGGCCTCGTGTTTTGGTCCGGGCTGTGACATTCACCGGCCGAGTCATCGAGTTACCTTCGCAACGAGCCTGCTATCTTGCAATTTTATTTTGTGTAATCAGGTATTCTTCTACTATCGTACGGCTGATGTAGATGCAGAACAACGACCACGACTTCACATTCAAGGTGGTCAAGCCAGACAACCGCGTCACGGGCAAGCGGAGTAGTGCACCAGCATCATCAACATCATCGCTGTGATGTCTCCTTCGTATTTGTGGATCGGGGCATTGCGTCGTGACGCGTGGTACGGTCTGTTCTGGATGACCACAGTCGCACCACTACTGGAGAGAACTTTTAATTTTACATTTGTGCATCAGGTATCCGCATCCGCTGCCATGGTGTGTGCAGCGGATGCGTCGCCCACTGCGTCTCTCTCGACCCGGCCAGGCGGCTCGCGATCCCAACAGGAGGGTCCTGCCAAGGTGGAAGTGATCTGTCGCGTCCACGGTGAAGCAAGACGGCGCGTAGTCCGGCAGGAATGACCAGGGCGGCCTGTCTGGAGTCGAAGCTGCGATCCTCCGCCACAAGGAAGCGACGCGGCCAAGTCGCTCCCGCTGGGCCGCACGTCACCGAGACGAGGAGGGGGGGGTCCTCGTCCAGCAGTGGATCGACACCAGGTGGGGGGGGGGTGCAGGGTGGGAGAGTGGGATTAGTTCCCTCGAGCCCGGGACTTCGGCTTCGCTCCGGCCGGGGCAGTCCGGGACGCCCCTGCCCAGGTGATTATTTTGGCACCCAGCCACACGCCTCATTTAGCATGGGCTTTGTTTTGTTGTATAAATATTAACTTGCTCATAGGACTGTAGGAATATATGGTGTTTTTATTCTCTTTGTTTACCCAGGAAAGCCTCGCTGGCTCTCGACTCTTCTTTCAGGCGGGTCCTGCCAAGTGTTCGCAGTAGGGGGCGATGTTGCCGAAGTTGCCCTCATGTTCACCGAGTCATTTGCAGGCAACGGCGTCAGCAATTGGGATGTTTGACCAATGCCAGTTCCATTGCTGTCGTGGGGGTTTCTGTTTCTGCCGTGGCAGGAAAACGGAGGACCCGGAGGAAACCCTCACGGAGCAGGGGGAGAATGCACACACTTCGCACGGAGTGCGGGCGGCGGCTAAGAACGTGGTCTGCAATTCCGACACAAGTGGAGGCAGCGGCGAGGGTTGGTGGACCACACGGAGATGTTGTTTGTGAAACTCCCCGTGGGCGTTGAGGGAGGGGGGGGGGCGCACGCACCGTGGATCGCCAGGAGTCCAAACTGTTCCGTCTGTCAGGGATCGAGCAGCGGGGCCGGCAAACTGCGGCTCTGGGGCCGCATGTGGTGGCTCTTTAAATATTGTGGGGAGGGGGGGGGTGTTTTTGTTTGACCGAATTCGGAGAAAAAAATTCTCCGCTTGTTATTTTGGGATAGAGAGTGTGGCCCCCTCCCTCCCTCCCCACCCGGGTGCTCCGGTTTTCTTCCCACACATAAACGCTCATTCATTTGGCAATAACGCCTTGACATATATATAGAGGACCGCAGATCTTGGCCAACTGTTAGTGCCACTGGCTCGACGTGTGGCTCCTGCTGTGTTTCCCGCTCGTCTGTGGTTCCTCCTCGAGGTGCTGAGTCGTCCCCTCTCTCTCTCCCTGGGAGAGTGGGCGAATTCCGTGCGGCATGCGGTATTTGTTGTGGTGAGGCTGCTATCGTGCCACCCTGCTGCACTGATGATTGCTCATTTCTCATTTTAATTCATGTAACGACTTAAACAAGGCGCGTAATTAAGAATTCGCTATTTTCTTGTTACGGCAGAAGTGTGACGAGATGCGACGGGTTGATGAGAAGGGTGGGAGTGCGTGATGAATGTGATGGCGATGATGATGCTGGGAGCAATAAACGAAGATGAAAGGGACAGTGAGTGGTTAGTGACGGAAGTTGTGAAGTTGGGATGGTGGCGGTCGTGGTGGGGAAGGGAAATTGTCGAGAGGAGTTTTGGTGTCCAGGGCTGACGCGGGGATTGGCGCGGGGATTGGCGCGGACTCACCAACGGTGGCGTTACGGCGGACGACTCTTCGTGCCAGCGATCCCATCATCATTATCACCGCCATCACTTGAAGGACGTTTCACGTTGACGCGGCGTATGTTCTCGTGCTGGGAGCACAGCGAAGCGCAAACGCGAGACAGTCGAGAGAGAGAGGGTCGTGGGGAAGAAACCCGATGTGGTGGCGATCATCGTCAATTCGTGTCGTGGAGAATTGTACCGCCGGAGCCCGAGGTCCACAGCTCTCGTGAAAAGAGCTCTCGGGTGGCGTCGCGTGTTTTTATTCGCCATGACGTCCGACGTTTCGCTACCCATGCTGCTGGATGAAGGCTTCTTGGAGACCTGAGGACTCCCGTGTCACAGCGCAGATAACAAACGCGACACATGCGCCAATGGCACCGTCGCCCTAAAACACAAACTAGTTACTACAGGCAACGTTTCGGGCAATGGCCAGTCACAGCGCATACAACGAAGAAGGGCCACTGCCCGAAACGTCGCGCGGGGTGTGGCTGTGGAGCGTGCTAAGTGTGTGTGTGGTTGGTTGTGCCACCACGACCACCGCTGCCAACGCAGCAGCAGCATCACCAACATTATTCTGTGCGCAGCGCAATGCCGCGACAGCGTTCACACTTCCCAGTAAACAGGCAACCTTGGCGCGCGCCTGGGAGCCGTTGGAGCGACGCGTTGGAGCGACGCGTTGGAGCGACGCGTTGGAGCGACGCGTTGGTGCGACACTTTGGGGGGGGCGACACTTTGACCCCCAACGTTTGCACGTTCACCGGTTTGCCCGGTTTGGTTTCAAATCACCGTCGCGTGCCGCCCCCCCCCCGCCACGTGGACTCGAGGGGGCAGCGCGAGACCAGCCGAGTCCGCCAGGCGGCGCCAGCGGCACGAGGGGCACGGGGGAGGCGTTCGCTGGAGTTGGGAGCGAGGGAAGACGACGACGATGATAGGGGGTGGAGACACCGTTGCGTGTTCGCTGTAAATTGGACGCGAAAGGAGCTCACGGCCGCGTCGGATTCTCCCTCGGCGAGCGAGAGCAGAAGGGGGGTGGGGGCAGCCCTCAGACTCGTCGTGGTCGGGGTTGGGTTGGCGGTAGTGATGATGGCGCGCAGGGTCGGGAGAAAAGCTCACGTCAACAACATCATCAACAACAACAACATAATCAACACCAGCAGCAGCAGCACAGAG